TAATGGTTTCTTGGTTCTACTGTGCTATCTGCTATTTGCTTGGCCACTTGGACTTCAGTGTGATTTGCAATTGGAACTGATGCGCTCTCTGCTCTTTGCCCGTGCACGGGGTCCCGATKTTCTACCGTTCTCGTGCGGATGGTTTCTTGCTTGACACCATCGGGGGTCGCGGCGACACCTGATGKTYGCCYCRTCGGGCRTCGCCTCGCCACACGAGGGTCGGGCCAATGCGGATGGTTCCTTGGTTCCACTGAGCCATCTGATCTTTGCATGGGCACTTGGACTTCAGCGTGATATGGAATATGGATTTCTGCACTTCCTCGACATGTGAATGGTTTCTTGGTTCCGGTGTGCTGTCTGCTCTTTGCTTGACCACTTGGACTTCAGCGTGATTTGCAATTGGGATCAATGCGCTATATACTCTTTGCCCGAGCACAAGGTCCTGATGTGCTACCGTTCTCATACGAATGGTTTCTTGCTTGCCAACATCGGGTGTCGCTGCGACACCCGATGGTCGCCCCGTCTACACCATCGGGCGCCGCGGCAACACGGGCGTNATGGTTTCTTGCTTGCCAACATCGGGTGTCGCTGCGACACCCGATGGTCGCCCCGTCTACACCATCGGGCGCCGCGGCAACACGGGCGTTGCCTCGCCGCACAAGGGTCGGGCCAATGCGGATGGTTCCTTGGTTCCACTGTGCCATCTGGTCTTTGCATGGTCACTTGGACTTCAGCGTGATATGGATTTCTGCACTTCGTCCACATGTGAATGGTTTCTTGGTTTCGCTGTGCTAACTGCTCTTTGCTTGACCACTTGGACTTTAGAATGATTTGCAATTGGGACCGATGCGCTATCTACTCTTTGCCTGAGCACTGCTATCGTTCTCGTGCGGATGTTTTCTTGCTTGCCACCATCGAGTGTCGCGGCGACTCCCGATGGTCGCCCCGTGTACACCATCGGGCACCGCGGTGACAGCCGATGGTCGCTCCACGTGCAGCGTCCGCCGGGCCATCGAGCACCGCCACGACACCCAATGGTTGGGCGTCGCCTCGTCGCGCGAGGGTCGGGCCAATGCGGATGGTTCCTTGGTTCCATTGTGCCGTCTGATCTTTGCATGGGCGCTTGGACTTAAGCGTGATATGCAGTTTGGATTTCTGCGCTTCGTTCACATGTGGATGGTTTCCTGGTTCCACCGTGCTATCTGCTCTTTGCTTGACCTCTTGGACTTCAGCGTGATTAACAATTGGAAACAATGCGCTATCTGCTCTTTGCCCGAGCACCAGGTTCGGATGTGGCACCGTTCTCATACGGATGGTTTCTTGTTTGACACCATCACGTGTCGCGGCGACACCCGATGGTCGGGCGTCGCCTCGCCGCGTGAGGGTCGGGGCTGATCCGGATGGTTCCTTGGTTCGATTGTGCCATCTGCTTTCTCCATGGGCACTTGGACTTCAGCAAGATCTGCAGTGTGGATTTCTGCACTTCGTCCGGATGTGGGTGGTTTCCTTGTTCCACTGTGCTATCTGCTCTTTGCTTGGCCACTTGGACTTCAGCGTGATTTGCAATTGGAACCAATGCGCAGCATCATGCGCTATCTGCTCTTTGGCGGTGCACGGGTTCCCGATGTGATATCGTTCTCGTACGGAGGGTTTCTTGCTTGACACCGCCGGGTGTCACGGCAACACCCGATGGTCGCCCCATCAGGCGTCGCCTCGCCGCACGAGGGTCGGGCCAATGTGGATGGTTCCTTGGTTCCACTGTTCCATCTGATTTTTGCATGGGCACTTGGACTTCAGCGTGATATGAAGCATGGTTGTCTGCACTTCGTCCACATGCGAATGGTTTCTTGGTTCCGCTGTGCTATCTGCTCTTTGCTTGACCACTTGTACTTCAGCGTGATTTGCAATTGGGACCAATGCGCTATCTACTCTTTGCCCGAGCACTGGGTCCCGATGTGCTACCGTTCTCATACGAATGGTTTCTTGCTTGCCACCATCGGGTGTCGCGGCGACACCCGAAGGTCGCMYCGTCTACWYCATCKGGCRCCGCGGCATCACGGGCGTCGCCTCGCCGCACGAGGGTCGGGCCAATGCGGATGGTTCCTTAGTTCCACTGTGCCATCTGGTCKTTGCATGGGCACTTGGACTTCAGCGTGATATGGATTTCCGCACTTCGTCCACATGTGAATGGTTTCTTGGTTTCGCTGTGCTATCTGCTCTTTGCTTGACCACTTGGACTTCAGCGTGATTTGCAATTGGGACCGATGCGCTATCTACTCTTTGC